TTTGGATTTGTTTTTGAAGAAGTCACAGGGAATTAAGAAGGGAGCAATCTCCTTGAGCAGCAAAGGGCAGTTGAAGAGAACAGCTGATGATAAATGGAGGGACAAGAGTGAGCATATCTCTGGAAGAGGACACTGGGAAAGGGTTGAAGGGGAGTGGGCAGGTGGACAGGGTTGGTTTTCAAGACCAAATATAGTTGGAAACACATGATCATTCCGCTGTATAGTGTAACTGTTAATATTGTGGCACCTGCTCCTCCCTTTATAGCTGGATGACCTTGGCCAAGTTACTTAATCTTTCTGTGCTCTAGTTTCTGAGTCTAAAAAATGAGGAATACTGATGATGATACTGCTTGTCTCATAGGTTGTTGTAGTAAGTAAAAAATATAAAGCTCTTAGAACAGTGTCAGGCACTAAGCATTATGACTATTGCTGAAAGAATACATTCTTTTTTCAAATGTAAATAAATGCACCTGTGATCCTGAAAGCCAACACTTATTTTTTTATTTTTAATGAAACAAACTTTCACTGTTGCCCAGGCTGGAGTGCAGTAGCTCGATCATACGTCACTGCAGCTTTGAACTCCTAGGCTCAGGAGATCCTTCTGCTTCAGCCTCCTGAGTTGCTGGGACTACAGACACATGCCACCACATCCAGCGAATGTTTTTAATTTTTTGTAGAAACAGGATCTGGCTTAGTTGCCAAGGTTGATCTCGAATTCTTGGTCCCAAGTGATCCTCCTACCTTGGCCTCCCAAAGTGCTGGGATTACAGGTGTGAGCCCCCACCATGCCTGGCCCAAGTTAACATGTTCAAATCCTCCATTTGGGAGAGGCATGGTGGGTAAGATGTGGTGGGAAGAGGTATGAGTGGGAAGAGGTTATGAGAGAAAGATAGAAGATAAGCTGGGAAGTGAATTGTTTATTTTCTATTAAAAGTTCACCCTCTCACTCTTCCAGGTTTTGGTAGCTAAAAATTTAATTTCCTAGCACATTAGACATTCATCTAAAAAGACAATTGCCATTCCAAATACAATAAACATTTGAAATGAGAACATTCATGTTAAATGATTATGCCAATAAGTTAATCAATATACAGACTTAATGTTTTTCATTGCTTGATGGCTTTTACTTATTACTTTGAAACTTAGGTTAGCTTAAAACAGTTTTATTTTCTGCAATTATAATACATAATCCTGAAAATGTCAGTTTAATAACTAGTTAATATATGCATGCCCAAATAGATCATTTAATTTTTTTTTTTTTAAATCTTAAGGTTTCACTTCCAAAGCAAAAATCTGCACTAAAACTTTTCCCCAATTATTCTTTGCCAGAAAACAAAATGTGTTATAGATGAAAACTTTGAGGAAAAAGAAGATAAATCAGGAGATATTTGAGAATCAAAGCAAAATACGCAAAAGAAAAACTCCTTGCTAAGTTGGATCCCCTCTTTCTGGCCCTGGGAACAAGGATGTGCCTGGTGGACTTTCAAGCATCTGGAGAAGATGATAATCAACTTTTCAACTATTAGCTCAGTTGGCAGCCAACAGTATCGAGGATGTGCTAACAGCTGTCCTACAGTCACTGATTTGATTCTAGGAATTTAGGCTTGTTTCTTGAGGACAACCCTGGAACAGCATGAAAATTCCAGAAAGTTGTATTACACCCATTTACTTGGCACTGAGCATATTTAAGTCTCTTTTTGGAGAAAGGTTTTTCTCAGAAATAGTTTATGTTGTGAGAATGAATCAATTAATTAACAGGTATTTATTAGTTTCCTACTTCATTTTGAGCACTGTGGGAAACACAGATGTCAACTCTGAGATGTAGTTCTGAAAACTACTGCTAATTTGAACCATCTACAGCTAGGAAGTGGCTTTGTTTTTATAGAACCCAGTTATACAGGACTTCACATCAATTTCTGGCCATTTGCATCTTATGGCTGCTCAAGAATTAGATGAAGATAAATTTTACATAGGTGCTTAGGAGGGCTGCAGGCTGGAAAAATAGGCCCTGAGAACCAGGACTGCACATCACAGGGGGGCCATTATGTTGCCTATCACAGAGACCACATAACCTTAATTGGAGCCCTCTCTGTAAATCAGAGAATCAGGCAGTGTGCTACCAGGTGAGTGAATTTCCAGTCCAGGCCGTGTCAAATGTATTTCAGCCTATGCACACCATTTTGAAATGTAGAAATAGAATGTCACTTATTCTCAAAGAATAAGTGTCTATATATTTTGGTGCAGAAAAATATATGTTTTGTGTTAATGTACGACAGCAAGAAAATGAATGGATGGCATGTGAAACCTTATATGAAATCTCCCACTCTTGTAGCATGGTGCCCAGAATTAGGTAGTGAGCCTCCAAAATGGGCTGTTCATTTGACTCTGCATGAGTTTTATATGCTAAGATGCTTGTGGGTTCAGAGTGACTGCAGGTGATTCTGGGTGGCAGCTCCTGTTGACCCTCCACAAAATGTTCAGACAGCTCCTCCTCAGATGAAGAGTCGATTCTTGTTTCTCTGTAGCTGAAAGGGCATTCTGCAGAATTCATTCCCTCATTTGTAGGCAGTCACATGCTCACATTTGCCACACGTCATTGTTACCAGAAACTAGCCCTTTGTGGAGAACATTGGCCAGAAACCCTCTAGCAATTTGATTCTACCATCTGATTCTAATTCTGATTCATGTCCTGCTCTCATCTTAACTACTCTTGGACCAGCTCCCTGGGCAAGCTGGGAGCGGAAGTAAAAAATTCCATGTGAGAAAGGAAAATGGGGTCTGGGAGAGAAAGAGAAGGCAAGTTTGTGATTTGTAAGTTGCTATTCAAAATAGGTCTGACCTTTTGCTTAAAGAGACCACAAGAAGGAAATAGAGTAACTCAAATTATCTACAGACTGTGTTGTTTATCTTATTGTTTCCTCCAAATGGGAGGTAGCATTTGCAGCCAGGCGTGGTGGTATAGGCCTGTAATCCCAGCACTTTGGGAGAATGAGACAGGAGGATTGCTTGAGATCAGGAGTACAAGACCAGCTTAGGCAACATAGCAAAATCTCATCTCTACAAACAGTAAAAAAAAAAAAAATTAGCTGTGTGTGGTGGTTTACATCTGCAGTCCAGCTACTTGGGAGGCTGAGGATTGCCTGGAGGTCAAGGCTTTGGTGACCCATGATTCTACCACTGCACTCTAGCCTGAGTGACAAAGTGAAACCCTGACAAAAGGAATGTGGGGTAGGGGAACATCTGCTTGTTGAGTATGGACTTCCAAGCACTTGCTGGTTACTGAGGCTGTGAATACTAGGTATCTTTATGGGTCTTGTTGGGTGACAGAGTTTATATGCATAAGAAATCACATTACATTTGTGTGTGTCAACATATACAAATTCATGTAAAACCACCTTACATTTGTTAAACACTGGACTTGTCAGATTCTTTCACTTTATTTTATCTGGTTCTACAACTTAGAAGGTGGTCAGGGCAAATATGAAAACAGAGTCATATAGAGATTAGCTATCTTATTCTCATCTCGCTTGGTTACACAGGGCTAGTTAGTGAGAGCTCAGATTAGAACCAGGTTTCTTAACTTTCAAGACAAGGCCCTTTCTACTTGATTACACAGTAAAAAAAAAAAAAAGAAAGAAAATTCAGTAACTCAAAATTTGGAGCAGAATTTTAATGACTTCAGAACTGTCAGTGTAATAACACTCATTCTTACTTACAATATTTATTTAGCAGCAGTTGACTGTAATTTGGTGGTGGGGAGAAGAAAAAACAAAGAAAAAAGAAAATGGCATTTTATGCAGTATTATATAAAAACATAACAAGATCTTAAAACATGTAATATTATATAAAGAAGTAAGAATGACCTAGGAAAAAGCAAACACTTTTGCTGCTTTACTATTTTAGAAATTGCACATGGTTTCTGCCACAAGATGAATAAGAGAATCAAACAAGCAAATACAGAGATGACTTCTGGGATTAAATGGCTCAACATGCATTGAGCTGAGTAATTTTTGTTCAATGTAATTAATTCCACCAAAAATAAGGTGATATGTCTTTAAATTTAAATTATAAAGCTTAGAGTTCTACCCCTTACTTCATGTGTTTCTTTTTCTTAGTCTGGCTAATCTGGGCCAGTTACACAAAAATAATTTTACTGAAAAAGTGATCAACACACTGTTTGGGGCTGGTTCCGGTTCAGAATGATTTTATGAATTATTTATGATTTAATCAGGTCGAAGTTTTGTTTTGTTTTTAAGCCAATCAAGAAGTACACACAAAATCTGTTTCTTTCTGCTTTTACTTGTCAGTTTTCAGTAAATGCAAATTGTAAATGTTCCAAAAATATACTTTAAAACACCGTGATTTATCTTTTTAAAATCTAATTATTTATTTCTGCCTTTTGAAATACTTATTTATTTATTTATTTATTTATTTATTTATTTATTGAGTTGGAGTCTCACTCAGTCGCCCAGACTGGAGTGCAGTGGCCGCTCTTGGCCACCGCAACCTCGCCTGCTGGGCTCCGATGATCCTTCCGCCTCAGCCTTCCGAGTAGCCAGAATTACAGGCATGCGCTACCACACCTGGCTGATTTTTGGATTTATTGTAGAGATGGGACTTCTGTAACCTTATTGTACGTTGATAGGGAAAAGGCTCTACACACACAGTAATTCCTTGTAAGTTCTCATGTGTATTTTGATGATGATGCTTATGGTAGGTATGGATATCGCATTTAGTTAAATAGATGAAAAATGGCTTCTGTCTTGGAATACTACTTTGGTCTGTGAGAAATCAGGTCTGGCTCACATAAAGGACAGGCTTGTAAAAGCTATCCATGCCACTGTCTTACCGTCTGAAATGAGAGAAAAACAGCTCTTTAGGCCTTTATTTTTCAAAATTGAATGGATCTCATTAGGAATTCCACTCAAAGAGAAAGTCTGCATACTGAGAAAATTATGTAACAATCATCTTTTCTAACCTAAAAATAAAGTACAAATATGGAAAAGTTCACAACATTTTATGCCCACATGCTTCCCCATGACCACTGGAGACAGTGCTGAACCAAGAAGAGGGACTGCAGACTTCCAATGGGCTCAGTATCAAGAGTCTGTGCAATAACTTTGAACTCCTTCTCTGATTAGGTGTGTTTTCTCATTTGCATTTGTAGGCTGGAGAACAACTGGAAAGTCCACATCTAAAAATAAACAAAACAAAGCAATAAACACCCTCTTATCATGTTACAGTTCTTTTAATGGGACAAGTGATGGGTATTTGTGTTGAAATCATGACTGACAAATCAATGCAATTCATAAGATGTTAGTATGCCTACCCTTTTAAGATCTTCAAAAGGAGGAGGCACTCTTTTTACTTTTCATTCAAATTCTGTCAGTTATGGAATTATAAAACCGAAGCACTAAACCCAGATTTCACCTTGAAGGCACTTGCTAAAGCTGGTCAACTTGAACTTTAATTTTCACCATCTTGTAGGGGTGGAGATGAGACTACCACATATAGTTGTGTAGGTTGGGCGCTTCACAATTCCAAGGGACATCTTCATATAGATTATAGTGTATATCCAAATGAAAGGTATGGTTGATATGCAAGATATTCCCTGAAACGTCAATAGATAGTGCAAAATTGCATGCTGGGTCTCCGTTGGAATACAACTCAAAACCAAGAGCTTGCTTAGGTGGAGAGTCTAATAGGAAGTTCCTCACATAAAGCTAGTGTCTAAAATGGCTATGCTGTCTCTAAAATTACTATACCCCCAAATCTACAAAATATTTGTTTGTCTGACATGTTGATGCTGAGTTGAGGGAACTGCCTTAAAAATGTTCAATGGCATGCCAATAAGCACACAAGTTGGAAAACCAAGTTTTCAATATCCTTGTATGTTCTAAAAGACTTCAAGATGATGATTTAGTTTAAAGTGGTCCAATACAAGATGTGCTCCCAGGCACTTAGCATAAGTGAATGACCTCAACTTCAACCTACATTGCAAAAAGTCACTATACAATTGCAAGAAACATGGGCTCATAGTAAGAACAAATAAAGATAGATATATGAGAAAGAAAGAGAGAGAGAGAGAGATTACACACAGAAAAAATGCACACTGACTGAGATCCAATAGGAATAGCAGAAAGTCAAATCAGACCCAGAAGGACTTCAAGTATTGCACTTAACAGACACAGAATACAAAAGAATTACATATTTTTAAAGTTATCAAATGAATCTTAAAGTTAATAAAAAAGAACTTTTATAGATTAAAATATATGAAAAATAATTTCATTAATTGGTTTAATAGCTAAATAATTAATAAAGTAGAAGAGATCTGAATAAAGCATGTAACACAGAGGCAAAGAGAAAATATGAAAGTAGTTAAAGGAGATAAAGAATGGAGTGATAATTTGAATGTATCTAATATGACTTTCAGAAAGAAATGGAAAAAAAGGAGGAGAGACAACATTTGAAGATTTGGTGGCTGAGAATATTCTAAAATTATTGAAAGATACCAATCCACAGATCCAAGAACCAGCCAGGATAAACTAAAGAGAAACCTATATTTAAAACACTTTACTGACACTGAAGAAAAGCAAAGACAGTGGTTTTAAAAGCAATTTTACTTCTCAATAACAAATATAGAAGTCAACACGCTATGGAATTATATCTTCCATATTCTTAAAGAAGATATCAACCTAAATTTGTTGACAAACCCTCTTCTTAAGTACTTAACCCTCTTTTTTTAAAAGAGCATAATATAAAGCTATTTTCAAACAATTGAACAGAAACGTTGCCACCAGCAGATGCAATTTAAAAGACAAAATTCAGGCAGAATGGAAGTATTATCAGATGAAAGAGTTCAGCAGTAAAAGAAATGATTGGGGGAAAAACAGTAAATATGTGAGTAGAACCAAACAATTGTTGATTATGTAAAGCAATAAAAATTCATGAGGCTTGAAATTGAGAAAAATCTAGAATACAATACTGGTGTATAAGTCAGAAAAGGGATGATCAGAGTTAAAGTGTTATAAAATCCTTGTATAGTTTAGAAATGGGTAAAAATGAAAATTAACTTTAAACTTTGATCATTTAAGTATGCTTTATAAACTTTCAGGATAACTCCAATATAATATAACAAAGAATGCAGTTTCCAAATTACAGGAGGGAAAGAAATCAAATAAGAAAAAAATCCTATCAATCTAAGAAAAGAAAGAAAGAGAAAAACAACAAAAAATTGTAAATTTAAAGTGATAATTAAAATGATAAAAAATATTAATAGAAACCGGGCTCGGTGGCTCAGCCTGTAATGCCGCGCCTTTGGGAGGCTGAGGTGAGTGGATTGCCTGAGCCCCGGGTTTGAGACCTGCCTGGAAAGACAAGATCTCATCTCTACAATAAATCAAAAAATTAGCCAGGCGTGGTAGCGCGCGCCTGTAATTCCGGCTACTCCGAAGGCTGAGGTGGAAGGATCGCCGGAGCCCAG